CATATGAGGCGACCCCACCTCCCGACAGTAGGAGATCCCATAATGAGAGAGGCATACCAGTACAGAACTGGGCTAGCTGATAAAAAACGAGTCGCCACCTGTCAACCACAACCGATAAAGATATTGATTTGTGACTAACGAAAAATAAGTTTTTTTTATTTTTATTTGATTAGGCATAATGATTCACTAATCTAAAGCATGCTTAAACTATATCATTGATAAGAAATGACTTTAAGCAGTGTATTATCTTCCACTGGAAGATCAAAATAGAAAAACATGCAGCAGCTTATGTAAAAAGCTGTACAAATCCTCTTTCTGTAAATACGAAAGTGCACATTTGGAATCTGGGGCTGACCTGAACGTGCATGACGAAAAATGCAGTAGCAACCATGAAGCTCAAGTGTAGAACAAAAGGAAGAAGAACAACAGGATCATATGGTGGGTTATCTGGTGTTTTGCTTTTTAATGGCTTCATAACCGAAACTTCTCTCTTGATAGCTCTCTCTCTCTTCCTCAGGCCACGAGCCCTGTCATCTGATTTGGATAACAGTTGAAGTGAGATGGTAGTGCCCCAAAAATCAAACGAAAGAAATAGGTAAAAAAAAAAATTATGGTTATATTTCTATATACAAAAAGGCGACTAGAAGCAAAGGCAAAGGTCATGAGCAAACTTTCATGAGAAAATTAAGTTTTGGATTCGTGTTTCCTTAACACTTCAAAAACACATACATTATCAGAATTAGGGAACTGGGCAGCACGAACAACAAAATTCAATTGATTAATAATGAATATATAATAATATGTAGCTGTCTAATCAACAAAAGGAATTTTGTGTGCACCGAAATGGATTACTAAAGGGGGGAAAGTATCGCTGTTGATTGGATTTCAAGATATACCACTCCACACATAAGACAACACGCACAAAGATGTCCTCAAGTAGCTTAAAAAAATGTTGAGCACCTGCCAATGCATTAGGAGTATCATTCCGAGAGGAGCTAGAACTGCTCATTAACCCTTCTTTCCTCTTCGATAATGGTGAAACTTGCAGGCCGAGTGAGAGAAACACCTCAGGCCATAGCTTGACATAGTAGAGAATTGAGCAAACCGCAAGAGATAATATTGGAGAAGCAAGTAGAAAGTTGGGCAACTGTTTAACTTGAAAATATCTAAGAAAACCCACTCCCCTGGCAGAAAATTAGCACAACCATCAGAATAGAAGGCTCTGATTTTTTATTTTATTTTATATTTTTTCAAGTCCTTCGCACATTTAGGAGTCACAAATTAGGCCAAAACTCAACTTAATATTTTGTACTCCCTAGTGCATTAAAAAGCCGTAGCTAATGAACTGCAAATATGATTTACAAACAATGATTTAGACAGCAAAGGCCCCTCAAAATATCTGTCTTATATTTTGTTTTCTGAAGAACACTTGGAAAACCAAGAACCTTAATATAAATTCAACAGTAAACTTTATGAAATATTCAAAAAAGATAAGGCGACCAGAGTTCTCCAGTTATCCACATGTCAAAATAAAATATGGAGTAAAAACAAAGAGATTAACAACAGATGTTATAGACTATAAGTTCAACATACCAATAGTGGCTTTGAATATAATTGTACAGTAAAGGAAGTCTCGCCTTGCACCACGGACTCATTTCAACTGCAGAACGACCCTTGCATATGTTAAAGTATCCATATGCTTGAAAAGAGATAAATGGAGCAAATATGCAAATCGAACATGAAACCCCGACAATAATAACTTTCGTCATTAGCAGCTGGAATACACAAACAGAAGATAGTTAATTTAAAGAAAAAGGATGAAAGACTTTATAAATGTAATAAGGCCACAACAAGTTAAGTCTTCGTCATTAGAAGCTGGAACATGATAAATAACCAGATACCTATAAACAACAATGATATAACTTCAGGAAGAAAAAATAAAAAAATAAAAAATAAAGGTCAAGACTTGTAGCAGAAATGGAGAAACACTAGTATTCCAATTACAAAGCTCTACAATAATAACCATGCAGATATATATGTCATCACAATTGCAATATATCCCAAGTGATAAAATCGGGCTCTTGCAGCAAACCAACATTTATGTTTATTATACAACCATAAAATAAATAAGAAATTAAAATCTTGAATTCAGGTAGTTAACAGCATTTTCTGGTGTTATATTGGAGAGACCCATGCGATCACTTTCTCATTCACAAAACAATATTCCGTTCCACAAAGTGCAGTACTCTGTGAAATGAATTTAAAAAATTTATCAGTTTTCCCTGGCATAATCTAGTAAATGCAGGTAAGGTTATTGTACATGACACTAGTTAAAGAAGAATAACACTTACATAAGACCATTTTCTAGAAATAAAAGCTTCTTTCATTTGTTGCATAGAGCGGAAGCAAAAGTAGCCTGCATTAAGCACCCCATTTGACCGTGCACAACCAGAGAGAGCAAAACATAATGTTGCAAATAAGTTGGAGCCACTCAAGAAATGATACAATCCTCCAAATGTCATGAGAGCATACAGACTCTCAGAATATCTGCAATTATGAAAACAACCATCATCACTCAAGGCCATTCTATGCCGGCAAGTTGCGAAACAAAAGTTTCAGAAATTACATTGAAGAGTAGAATATGGAAGCTGGATTGAAGCAGAACAAGACTGATGCTCTCAACGCTACCTCTTGGTCCTTCAAAACAGCTACTGAAAGCCTGTAAGAAGTACAATAAATGAGAAAAGAACACTGAGAGATGATAACAAGACCTGAACTAATGGACTTATCAATCCTAGTCTATCGTCACACTTTCCACAAGAGTCAAGTCAATTATTTGAAATTCAGATTATATGTTCACATACACAAAGCAAATAAGAACAGATAGCTCCAACTGGAAACTCACTGATAAAGATATAATGAAGCGAAAACAAAAGCAATGTTGTTGATCACGTAACCGGATAAACCCAGTACCGCCCTGTACCCAATCACAGGCATTAGTGGAGCAAAAACTGCATAGCACGAAAAAAAAAAACATCAAAACTTTTCCCAACAGCACAAGGAAAACATCTGTACAGAACAGATAATAAGCATGTTAGAGAGAATGGGAAAATCCCAGTAAGCTAAATTCGCATAAATTTTCCTTACTTTCGTCTACCAAGACATAACCTCGCTAGCATGTTAATGTCGACGAAACCCAAAAACTAACTGATTTAAGAACAACAATTGAAAACCTGAACAGGCAATAAGCAAGTTAGAGAGAATTCGCTTCTCACTTTCTTCTACCAACACACGTAACTGTTAACATCGACGAAACTAAAAGGCTGACTGATTCAAGAAACAAAATGAAAATACCTGTTTTGGAGAGAAAGGAAATGCAAAGCGGAAGCAAAGGCAAGAAGGCGTAGGTCTGTTCGTATTCATATCCGCACTCGGCGATGCGTGCAAAGTAAACTCCATCCCACACAATACTTTCCTCGATCACCGAACCCAAGCCCGGAAGGAGGACCGGCAACGGAAGATCTGATGTGCCGGAGGAGGAGAGGCACGGCGGATTTATTGAAGCGGATGTGTCGTACGGGCTCAGCAGAGATCGCCAGACGATGATTAGGGATAGTACGAGAAGCCGAGAGGCGACGGAGAAGCGGAGGAGGCGGCGCGTGTGAGAGCAGAGCCGGTGATGAGGGGCGGACGCGCCGTGGAATTTCGAGGTCATTTCGCCGAAAACAGGACACCTTTTTACAAGACAAAATTGCAAGATTGGTGTCACAATATATAAAAAAATTACTACTACTTATGCAACCTATACAACCTTGGTATAAGAGAACCATTCCGTCAAGTTTTGTGACCGTTAAATCAACTATTCCCGACAGTTATTTGATCCCGACAGTTATTTGATGAAGTAACAGTTACAATTCTTGTTAGAATGGGACCGTAGCATTTCCTACAAACTTGAGCAAAAACCGTTAAATTATAAATTTATTCAACTTAGCCTGATAATTAAATTGACGAACTAAAGTTACACGCGGTGAAAATGAAAGCGTATCCCATATGGAGAACACTTGTGAGGAAATCTATCCTTCTCCACATCATCTTCAAGTTGTTTGGGGTCATGAAATGAGCCTGGTTCGAGAAGTTTACGCCTTCGCGTTGTAAGTAGATAGGGATGAGATCATTTTGAGTTCTTAAGCAGTGATGACATATAATTAGAGATACAATGGCCTGTGATGATTGATCAGTTTGCCTACATTGTCTACATTGTCTGCCTACATTGTCTACATTGTCTGAATACTTTCTCTTGAGTGGTGTCACAATATATAAAAAAATTACTACTACTTATGCAACCTATACAACCTTGGTAAGAGAACCATTCCGTCAAGTTTTGTGACCGTTAAATCAACTATTCCCGACAGTTATTTGATGATGTAACAGTTACAATTCTTGTTAGAATGGGACCGTAGCATTTCCTACAAACTTGAGCAAAAACTGTTAAATTATAAATTTATTCAACTTAGCCTGATAATTAAATTGACGAACTAAAGTTACACGCGGTGAAAATGAAAGTGTATCCCATATGGAGAACACTTGTGAGGAAATCTATCCTTCTCCACATCATCTTCAAGTTGTTTGGGGTCATGAAATGAGCCTGGTTCGAGAAGTTTACGCCTTCGCGTTGTAAGTAGATAGGGATGAGATCATTTTGAGTTCTTAAGCAGTGATGACATATAATTAGAGATACAATGGCCTGTGATGATTGATCAGTTTGCCTAGTTTGCCTACATTGTCTGAATACTTTCTCTTGAGTGGTGTCACAATATATAAAAAAATTACTACTACTTATGCAACCTATACAACCTTGGTAAGAGAACCATTCCGTCAAGTTTTGTGATCGTTAAATCAACTATTCCCGACAGTTGTTATATTTGATGATGTAACAGTTACAATTCTTGTTAGAATGGGACCGTAGCATTTCCTACAAACTTGAGCAAAAACCGTTAAATTATAAATTTATTCAACTTAGCCTGATAATTAAATTGACGAACTAAAGTTACACGCGGTGAAAATGAAAGCGTATCCCATATGGAGAACACTTGTGAGGAAATCTATCCTTCTCCACATCATCTTCAAGTTGTTTGGGGTCATGAAATGAGCCTGGTTCGAGAAGTTTACGCCTTCGCGTTGTAAGTAGATAGGGATGAGATCATTTTAAGTTCTTAAGCAGTGATGACATATAATTAGAGATACAATGGCCTGTGATGATTGATCAGTTTGCCTACATTGTCTGAATACTTTCTCTTGAATGAGAGACTCTTTATATTTTTGAGGCCTTGGGTGTGATAAGAGTTGATGTTGTATATTTTACAGTTTATGTTTCTCCTCTCCCATTAGCTAATTTGCATAATATTATTTATTTTTTCCAGCGTTGAAGTAGTTTGTGTGCATTTTTGCAGGAATAGTTTCAAATGGAATCTCGAGATACTAATCCAAATTCTCGTTTCCAACAACCTTTTGTCAATCCTAACCTACAATCCCAATTTACAAATCACGTTAGCCATATGAATCCATCATCATCCTCACAGCCCAACTATATGTATGTTCCGATAAATGCCTCATACAATCCATTTGCTAATCCACAACCTAGAAACCAATATTCATTCTAAGATCTATTTAATAGCCATAACGGTAGTTTTGACAATGTTCAAACTTAGTTGGGTCACAATGCCTTAATGATAATGGAAGTAATACCCAAAACTCTAACAGCTTGCATGATTCTGTTGCCAACAAAAATTGGACTAAAGTCGAAGATATAGCATTGACGAAAGCATGGCTATATGTTTCTGTTAATTCCGATGTTGGTAACAATCAAAAGAATACGCAAATGTGGAATCGTATTTTTATTGCAATTGAAGGAGAATATGGGGGCGGATTGCAACAGTTCACGAAATACAAACAGCTTAGGATGTCGATGGGGGAAAATTCAATCTGCTGTTAGCAAATTCCACATAATTTATAAGCGTCTAGAGAGGATTCCTCAGAGTGAATCCAATATGGAAGATCTGGTAAGAATTACTTTTATTTTCTTGATAAATACTGAAATTTAATGTAATAAGTTGTTTAATATATTCTTTATTGTTTTTTCTCAGAAAAGAGAAGCAAAGAGGGCATATGAAGATATCAACAATAAGAAATAGTTTAAATCCTTTGGGATGGAGGGTAATCTTGGAAGCCATTCAATTATGCCTATTATGTGATCGAGTGAAAAGAAGTCTCAATGCCGATCCGAGCTTCTGATCAGAACGTGGAAAACCGCACCTAAGATGACTGAGAACAAGAACTAACCGATCAAAGAGTCTTCCTCGGTATATGGAATAAGCTAGTCAGTCAGGTGGAGGACAGGTGGCTCGGGCATTGTTGGGAAATCATGAGAAAGAATCCAAAATGGTGTACAAATCAGCTTACAAAAATGAACGGTTCAAACAAATCGAAAGCAGACAATGTTAGCCATCTGCCAAATGATTTGCTGTTTGTTAATCTTGGTGATGAAACTTGTATGGATCCTCTTGGGAGTGAAACGCTGAAAATTGATGGTTTAGTGCGTCCTCAGGAAAGGAAGGCCAGTAAAGATAAAAAAAGAAAGTCGAATGAAGAAAAGGGTGTTGTAGAGGTGTTAGGCAAGCTACATTGCACACTAGAAATGCATGTGAACATCACTCGAGAAGAAAAGAGCGAGGAAAAAAATAGCATGAGCTACGAGAGCAGGTAATAAAGAAAGAGTTTGAATTACCCGGACTCGCCACCTACCGTCGGCGTACCCTTGTCGACACGACACGACAAGGATACTGGTATGAAATTCGGCTCCGATCCGGTCAAAACAGGCCGGATACGTTGACTATTAAGAGGTGTCGGGGCACGTGAAGAAGATGTTGCGAACCTTGTGGGAAAGAAGGGAAAAAAGATGGTTACGGGTGAGGAATTACCGATTTGGCTGGTCGGATCTGAGGAAGAGGGCCTGGGGCATGGTGGTAGTTGTGAATCAGGAATCGTCGGGGGATACGAGGGGTTCGGGTTTTCTGACAAATGAGGAATGGATAAGGGGTTAGTGGACTATGTTGGTATGGGGCCTATTCGTTTGGGCCAACATCCTTTATATTATTTGTTCAAAGTTGAGTTGTTTCTTATTTAGCTTATTA